GAATTGCCTGGCCAAGGCTGCCTGCAGAGCACTGGTGGATACAGAAGTATTTGTCTTCTGTCTCTGGAGTCTGGCTCCCATTCTCTGTATTTCCCACTCTTCTAAAGCTAAAAAATGACCAAGCTTTTTGGGTTATATCTAAAGACTACTTAACCTATTAGAAAAGCAGTCTGCTTCATTCAGCTATCCCAATTGTGCTCATCTGCAACTAATTACAGCAGACTAAAAGTGAAAGCTTTTATTTGCTACTGCATTTTTCTTCCCCCTCTTGTTTGTTTGCCTGCTTATGTGCCTGGGAACTCATTAGATGAAGTCCTGGGAATGTAGGATTTACAGGAAAGACAAATAAAAACGCCCCATCCCTTCACAGATCACTTTCTGGTATCACACATGTTGAGGAATGCAGCAGTTACCACCACACCTCCATCTCAGGCATCAGCACAATATTTCGTGGCCAGAAGGCTCCGCTTCTGTTATCTGCATGGCTAAAACTTATTGACCTCTGGGGCACAGCACTGGGATCTGACCCTTTACTTTTGAAGCTGCAGTATTAATTATGAAATAAAGGTCCTGCAGGTTTTTGAATGGCACCTGAGTCCTGCATAGTGTTTCGCTGTGGACAGACTCGATGTCAGTGTGTGGTGTGGAGCACGACAGCCCTCTAGTCTAATTAATCTCTTACAGGCTGAAAACATCTACATTCCAGTGGTAATAGGGCTTTTTATTATTATTGTTTAGCAATGAGCATAACTCTGAGCTTCATTAAAACCAAATGTTTAATTGCATTTGTGGATATCAGATTTATTGATTTACTTAACTTTCTCCTAATGCTGCAGCAGAATAATCTATCACGGTTTCATGTAATGCTGTCCTAGCCAAGTTTTACTTCAGCATCACAATTTCTCAGACAAGTATGCATTGATGGTTTATGTTGGCTGGGCCTTTGCTTCTGCTGACAAGTTGGAAAAGAAAAATCCCATTTATATTTTGAGATTTCCTAAAGCCTGTTGATTTATGAAATACGACTGGCCTTGCGTTAGGTTTTGTTTTGTTGTTGCCTTTTTTTTTCCCTGCTTCTTAAGAGGGGAAAAAATTTCACATTTGCTTTTATTGCTGACTTAAGTAGGGGATTTATTCCATTAAATTACATTTCCCTAAATGAGATATTCTTTGCAAGGTAAGCAGCACTTAATAACAAATTAGTTACTGAATTAGTTTCTAATGTTTTAATTTCTTTTGCCTTGAGACAGAGTGAGAGCTCCCATCATAACCCACCCCCATGTGTCCATTTGTCATATAATGGTATGTATTAGGCAGATACCAATGAGTAGTTCACAATTTGAGCTGATTTGCAGCAGTGAGGATGTGGTTTGTTTGGTGCTGAGCCCCAGACGTGAGCAGGGCTCAAACCCTGCTCAGAGGCAGAGTGAAATATCAGCTTGGGCTCAAGATTGCACTGAAGCTGCTTCCAGTTGGCTTGAAGCCTATGAACTGATGTCTGGACATGCTGCACGATGTAGATTTTGTTTTTCCCCCTCTCTGCTACTGGTGGTGGAGAGCCTGATTGCTTTAGATGGGAGCTGAATTGACTCATCTTTCCTGCTCAACTGTTTTTGTAGGTCTTTGAGTTTTCAGTGTCATTATCATGTGAGATAGAAGCAAACACATGTACCATGGGTTAGACAACTGGAAGCCAAAAAATTATATTTTATATTGCATTTTTTCCCCAATATTTATAAGTCTGGAAATTCTGGTAATCTTTTCTTGAGGTAGCGGTAGAAGTCTCACAGATTTCCATAGGAATTGATCTTTTGTCTGCTCATATCTGCTTCTCGAGCATACATGGAGTTGCTGGAATACCTTTGGGGTTCCTCATGTTGTTTTTGACTTTTTCTAGTTCAGTATACTGCCTTTTCATTTTTTGAAAAGCATTGTATTATTTAACATTAATGTCTCCTGAGAAAAAGAAGTTGTCCCACCTTGGTCACTGGGGAGCATGGGCTGACTCAGGAGCATAGGAGAACCACTGAAACAGAGGCTTCTTTGAAACAGAAAAATATAAGGGAAAAAATAATTACAGATTAATTCAATTGACATCAAATTCTCAGCAGTGGAAGACTGGTTAAGTATCGTTTATCAGATCTTGTCGCACTAAAAAAGAAAGAAACCAACTTTTTTTTTTTTGACTAGTTACAGTTGTAAGTGCTGTGCTTGGCAATAATCAATGGGGAAAATTAGCAAAAAACAGAGCTGGCCAAGAGAATTCATATTTGATATTTGTTATCTTATTACAGATGGTCACAAGCTGGGTGCGGGTGTCCTGCAGGCAGTACTCAAAAGAAAAACATGCATTAAATTAAAGTCTTTCCTTTATGCCAAAACTGCAGATTTTGCTTCATATGCAAGGGGTGGCACCGTTCTTAAAGGAATGGGAGTTTAGGTGGCAAGTTGAATAGGCTGTCCTAGCACTTATTTGCTCAGTTGAAAACAAAATTAATCATTCTGGTATCTGTTCATGTGTCTGTATGTCCTCCAGTGAGAGAAAACAGGGGGTTATGAGTCACTTTGGACAATATCTGGGTTTACAAAGGATGATGTGTTGGAAACCCAGCAATCGTGGAGGGGGAGGGGATAAAGGGGTGAGTAAGCTTTATCCAGAAAAAGGATGCTATTAAGTCTCTCAATTTCAGTGTAAATAATTAAAGAAAATTATGTGTATGTGTGTATACATATATATTTTAAGGTTCTAGAGGAATGAATTTTAACATTAAAAATAAAACCTTCATGGTTTCATACTGTTTAGGAGTTGTTAATAAAGGGAGATGGTCAGGCTGGCCCATTTCAAACAGTGACTAATAGACTTCTGCCTCCACTGCTGGTTCCAGAAGCCTCCAGAATTGAATGATTTATTGCACAAGGGAAAAACAACAACCCTTACTTGATTATGCTGATTACAGAGTTGCTGATTATTGGAGTAAAGAGAATACGCTGCCCTGGTTTCCTAAATTCTTCAAGGAATATGGCAGATCTTAAATTTTAATTTCTTAAAACTGCAGATTGTGAGAATATTGAATCACAGTGCAACCTGCTTGGAGGTCCCCATGTGTCATCCATGTTATCATGTATCCTAGCTATTGCTACAAGGGTTGCTGTAATAAATCGCTCCTGCTTTTCCAGTTGTCATCCATCACACACAGCATGCTTGTATGATGGGTAAATCATACATTTTACCTGATTTGCCAAGGGCACTAAGGAAGCTGCAGATGCCTGGCTCAAATCAGTACAGTGCTCTCCTTTTGTTGGAGGTGTTACGGTGAATGCTTTTGCACAGCCTTTTTAATATCGTGGATTACTAGTCTTGTTTTACCTTGGACATCTAGATATTGCACTTCACATGGAATGGTTATTTGTTGGCTTGGGTGAACCAACGCTAAGGGTGTTTGGTAACAAATGGACTGTCTGCTTGAAACCAAAGTTTCAGGTAATTGGGACTTTCTTCATCGTGTCTTTCTAAGATTAGAATAGCTAGGACAGCTTTTTCCAAATAATTTCACTTTTTATTTTTATATCAGTCTTTACGATGCCATTAACCTGCTTCTGGCTCCTTCCACCACGTTTTTCCTTTTTTAAACCTTCTGTAGAACTGCACGGAGACACGTACTGGTCTTAAAATGCTTGTAGTATCTCACCTTTGTTGTAGTACAGACAGAAGAGCAGACATCTCCTATAGGGGAAAAAGAGAAACTAATATAACATCAGGTTTAATCTAAAAATAATAGTGGTTTAATAGCATATAGAGAAAGTGTAGAGCAATGTAGAGGAGGAATTGGGGAAGAACTTTGGCCAATCAAAATTTTCAGAGGGATTTTAGGTAGATTGTAATATTTCTGCTGAGACTTTGCCAGCGTTAAGGGATTTATGCATTCATAATTTAAAGATATGGAAACAGAACGTTCAGTGTAGTGTCTAAGTGATGAGTACTTGCTATACCACATAAGCAAATGTTTATCAATATTTAACAAAAAATAAAAAATAAAAACAAATAAACACAAATAAAAACAAAACAAAACAAAAAAGGATTTTAAAGGATGCCTTTCTTTGATCAAATAGTTGCCCAAGGAAACTCAATATTCAGTTTGATGCAGGAACTAAGAGCATCTTGAGATGACAGTGTGTGCTCAGGATACAAGCTAGACAATTCTAAGTCAGACTTTGAATAATAAATGCTTTCCTCTTGCAGACAGAGCTCAAGTACAGATGACTGTAAACCTAACCTATGCCTTCCTATGGTATTGTGCCATCCTGATGTTCTCTTTGCATACTGCAGCTGACAGTAATGTGATAGGAGTGCGTTTCTCAGTAGAAGACCTTTGAGTTTCTCAGACAACATATGGTATTCTGGTAAAAATTAAGTTTTGGGGAAGTAAGGTATTTTAAACAGGAATCCTTTAGTTAATATTTCTGAACTTCATTTTACTGCCCCGTGGTGCAGTGTTTAATAACCCATTTTCATACTCTGGTGCCTCTTTCATCTGGCAGGTTTGATGCTTGCATCAGCGTTTGGTTTAAAAGGTATCTGCAGATCATAATAAATTCTTTTGCTTTCTACCTTCTCTTATAAAAACATTTCACCACACTTCTGTTCGTTCCTGTTTGCAGCGGGTCCTCAGAAGCACGCACATCATTACTCCAGTCAGCAATGGCAATGCATCACTGGGAGAATGGAAAACACATAAAACACAAATGTAATTTTGTTCTACAGCACGACACTTCAGAAAAGGAAAACCTTCTTTGAGCCATAGCTTTTTGTAAGGTGTAGTGTGCTGTAATGACAAATACACAGCTTTGATGTTTCCTGCTCCACCCGACCATGATATTGTAAATCAGCATTTTGCTTTTTCGTATTCCTCTGTTATTAAAGCTTGTTGTAACCTTGTTGAAGGCAAACATAGGTTTGTTCTTGAAAGCAGCGTGTCTTACTCTGCTGTCTTCTTTAACAGGGGAATTATTGTGTTTGCAAACAAAAGCTACGTTCTGGAGCCATTAGAAGGTGCTACAAGTGAACACAAGATCTACCGAGCAGAGAACTTGGAAATAATTCCAGGGTCCTGTGGCCACCAGCTGGACATCTCTGCCATGAGGGCCTCCGACACGTCGCACCGCTCTCAAGCCAGCAGGGTAGGTGCATGCTGTGGTTTTGTGTTTCTGGTTTCCTAAGCAGTTTCCTGGTAGCATCTCCATAACGCTGTCTGCCATAACTCTCTTTTCCAGACTCGTTTCCTATATCCCTACTGAGCAGGCTGCTAAACCACACGGTCAGCTTCTGTTGATGGCACGTGCTTAAGAACATGCCTAAAGCTGAGCACATGCTTACAAGATTTGCTTAAGCTTCATTACTTTTTCTCGCTCCCTTATTGCTTTTTCTCATTCTTTTTGGTAATGAGATAGCACAGGAAAAGTTTCATACTACCATGGTAATATATTTTGGTTCATGTATGATTATAGCAACAATTTAGGACCCCATAAGAACACTGAGCAATGTCTGGAAAAGTTCTTGGCCAGCCGAGGTGGAAAAGAACACGAGAGCTGTGATGCTTTGAGAATTGTGTTTTAAAACCTAAATGAGCCTATGCGTTCTTACAGGAAAGTATCCTGTGCAGACAAAACAAATTCTCACAATATTATCTTACAGATGTATTACAGTCATTGTTTTTATGTAAGGAGTGCACTTAATGTGAAATGCACTAATGGAAACAGTAGAAAATGAACTGAAAACCATGAAGAAGAAATACTGCAACAAATTAATGTGCACGTTGGACGTGGATTGTAGAAAAGACTGTTTTAGATGTCCAGAAATCATACGGTGATACAATTCTGACCTTATAATTCATTAACTGTCGCATTCTGTGTTTTATAGTTATGGGTGCTACTAAGCCCATGCATCAAGATAATTGTGAAGGAAAGCAACCTAAATGGCATTACCAGATTTTAGTTGTGTAGTGGAATTAAATTATTTTGTGTTTTAGGAATATCAAGCGTTATCTGTCCAAATTTCTTCTTGTTAAAAAGAGTACATATTGTGTTAGCTGTTAAAGATGCAACTTTATGGGCTAAGCATTTTTCTGAAAAGGTGCAAAGTCTGTAGGATGAAAGTGTTGACATTAATCTGCGTAAGCTTTGTTTATGATTTCTGCTTAAATAGTCCATATTATGCTCCTTGATATCATTAATATATCTGTGACATGAGCCCTTTCCCAGAAAGATAGCAGAAAAATCCATGGCCTTCCAGCCTGCCTTTCTGTAAATGCAGCTCTACCAAAACAGGCTTCTTTATAGTGAAGTTTCAAAAATAGGTTCCTACATTAAGCTAGAGTGTTTTACACCCTAAAAACTGTATTTTCAAATTACTTCACGTGCTGGAAATGTACTTTTTGCATCTTTAAGGTTTCCCCAAAATGTTTGGGACATGCAAGTGAAGTTTGCAGAGGCAATCCGTGTAACACCAGGCAAACTAAATGAAAAGCATACGTATAACTATCTGATACATTCCAAACAATTTCACCATTACCCTCGTGGTTCTCACATTCTGTTGATGGCTTCAACTATGTGTTAGAATTCACCTTACGTATCTGAAGGATATTGTTGCAATGGTTCACTGGGCGTAAATATGAAACCTGTCACCAACCACATCACAGAGTTGGGTAAAATGCTTGTAATGAGTAATCTGGATACGCTTTTAATGTATGAATTCTGGAAGTTGTCAAATGTAATATGTGGACTGAGTTTTCACATTTCAGTGTTGTCAGCAGCTAAGCAGACTGTCAGGATACACTGAATAATGATGAATTGCAAATTATTGAGACACAAGGCTGCTCCAGAGTATACTGGGTCACGGCAGTAAGCACAGATCCAGTCTCGGGCTTAGGGCATAATGAAAATTTCAGGTTTCTTGGCAGGCTCGAGGTAGTTTTTAGTTTATTTCGCTGACCTTTCACCCATCTGCATACACTAAATGCTTATTGAGCAGAGCTGAAATGTTAGATCAATGTAGCACAAATTTAGATTAGCCTTTGGGTTAGATTTACGTATGAATAAATGATGGAGAAAACAATAGACTCATCTTCCCAGATCCAAATGTGAGGTTTGATAGATCGAGTCAGATGGTACAACAGGTGTGGGCAGACGCGTTTTTCTCCTTTAGGGCTGTGTGTATATATAAATTTTGAATCATTTTATAATGCAGGGGGCCCTCAAACTGCAGCAGGGAGTGTGCCAACCAGATAAGCTCCATCGGTATGGGATCCTCCAGAAGGCATGTAATGTAGTTGCTATATTATGGCTTTTCTCTGTAGCCACACAAAATAACCATTTCAGTGGTCCTGGTGGATCGCAGATCAGCTGATCTGGGGAATTGGATCACAGAGAGATGCACTGTGAATCCAAGCTAAGCCAGTTCTCAGGTAGGGACGCACTGAAAGTATATGGTGCTATAGGACAGCAGTTTTGCAGTAAGATCAGGTATTGAAGAAGCAGGGGAGCAGGACAGCAATCAGCTGAAAAAAGTATCTTATCTCCCCTCATGGATTTTTGTCATGGCTGTATTATTGACTCTTCATTTTAATTCTGAGTGATTAAATCAGGCAATGGATTGTGTGTTGATGCAGTTGGCTGCAGAAAGCAGACAGAAAGAAGCGATAATTAGGTACATCTTATAAATAAATATCATACCCAAGGAATACACATAGCCTTTGGGCAAATTGCAGGGATGGATTCGTTATGCAAATCAGTCATCAGAGGCTCATATGATTATACCCTGCTAGCCAGTTTCTCTCAGGCTAACTCTCTCCAGTCCAAATAATTTTACTTTTGGTGAAAAACAAATGGCTTATTGACTGGGGTAACAGGGCCCTTCTTAAATCTTTGCACCTGGGTGACATCTCGGTTTTCACTCTTCATTTAGAAGACCAGATGTATCTCAGGGGTATGTCTTTAATCAGGACTGCATAGTAAATTTTGGGTTTATATTAGATCTTCAGTGTCTGAGGGACCAGCTCTGTCACAAACAAAACCCACACAGTCATTTGCCTTCTGTATCAGCTCACTCATGGCTGATGTGTAGTGGAGAGGTGAATCAAGCTCTGCTGAGACCCTTCACACCCCATTTGTTGCTGGTACAGAAGCTGCAAAGGGGATGTGCTGGCTCTTGGGTGTCCTGCTGCCTGATGACCTGCATGGCAGAGGAAGCACCAGGTCCATGCACACATCATACCTGCATTATGGTGACAGTTGTGGCCAGTAGAACAAAAGAAGATGGCAGAGAACCCAGTACCAAGAGAAGTTACAGGAATATCTACATGTGCTCATTTGCCAGGCCTGCAGTAAGTCTAACCCCATGAAGTAGAACTGATTCTTAGTCATTAATGATAGCTTCTAACGCTTTCTCAGGTCAGAAACAGTCTAAATGGAAATTAATGTTTTCCAGTCATTGTAGTTAGAAGGCTGAGTAGCACTATTAAATATGAGTGTTTTAACATTAGAATGCTGAATTACTGAGAGTTACATCTTTTACTTTCCTCTAGCTATTCAAAATCGATCTGCAGATAGCAAGGAGAAACATTTTGGGCACATCAGGAAAACTTTGTGAAATTTGGCAGAATGGTGATGTCCAGTATTGACAGAGTTTTAAAAGGGATTGCGCAGTTTGCCTTGGAAGACCGTTTGCTTTGAGAAGTTCAGCTGTGCTTTAGGTTAAAGAGCATCATGGTCATTAGTAGGTCATGCAACTGCTGAAGTTGCTTAAGCTCTGGCACAAAGATTGGGCGTGCTGCTGGAACCTGTGTTTCCTAACTGTCTTATTTCAGAGGCATGGGAGAAATAATGCAACAGATGCTCAGCTGGCGTAAATCACAGGACTTTTATGGGCTTTAGAATGTCTCTTAAATTAGGGTAACAGAGGAGTTCTATGATTAGTAATATTACAATGTTTTATCTTTTTGAGGTAAGCATTGTACATCAGACCTGCATTTAGAACTGCTGGTAATGTGACAAGCTCTTTTATATGAATATACAGATATAAAATTAAAAGTAAACCATCCTTTTTTTTAAGCATTACAGTTTTCTATTCCAGACACTGACAGTTCATTTAGGTAGATTCTTTTTTCTGCAGTTTTGGTCTTGGTTTTTTTATTATTATTTTTTCTATGTAATTGCTCAGTTGACTGCTTGATCTCTGCTTGACTCAATATCCCTTCGTCACTCATTTTCCCTAGTAGTGTTTGTGCAAAATGTTTACATAAAGTCAATTAATCATTTCTTTAAGTGCACCTTGGGAAGTTCTTTCCACTGGAGATGATGTTCTCCTGTAAGGAAAGATAACTCAAACATTGCAACTGCAGAAACCCGAAAGGCTGATCAATCCTTGGCATCATTTTTCTCCCTGTGATCAAATCTCAGTTGTTTGGTTTTGGGTTTTGTGGGTTTTTCTGTGAGCACCACAAACTATTTCTGTTGTGGTAGATAAAAGGAAGGCTGGAAATCTGAGATGTTTTGCATCTCCTCTTGCAAGCATTATGTTGAACTGGGGAAGAGTTGATTCCAAGGGTCACTTACTACAAAAAAAAAAAAGAAAATCCAACAGAATACTGTTTTCATCTTTTTTGACAGTACAAGAGGGAGACTCTGAAGACGACCAAGTATGTGGAGCTTGTTATTGTGGCAGATAATCGTGAGGTAAGAGTCTTAAAAGGACATGGGAAACACAGGTGGGAAATGAGTAGCTCTTTTCAGTTTTTGTGGAACTATAAGGAATGTGCTTCAAATAAATTAAAAAAAAAATATATTGAGGCTTTCACATGTCATGTTTCTACAGTGCTAGGCAACAGAAGGCCCTTGAAGACAGGGTAACACTGATAGTTCTTTGTAGATCTCTCTTACAGTATTTCATAAGGAATGTGACACCCACGGGTAATTGGGATGTCTGTTGGTAATTCAAGATGTGACAAATGAAAGTTCACAGCCCATGAACCGGTTGTATCTTCACTGCATTCTGTGACAGCCCTTGGTGGGACTGCCACTGTTTGGAGGATGCTGTGGGATCCTGCATTTCCCTTTTGAAGTAGTGTTTTACCATCGCATTGCAAGAAGCCTTCCTGACAGTTTAGAAACAGAGCTTTGGAGCCAGGGCAGGCTGTGGAAATGTTCCAGTCAGTTGAATGGCAACCAAAGATGTGAAGCCTTGGATTGAATTATTTTGCTACTTGCATTTGATTTTTCGTTTGCAAATGCGATGGTCTTTCACTCTCCTTGAACACAGCTAGTTAGGGAGTAACAACAGCTCTGCTGCCAAAGCAATGTGCAGGAAAGCCTTTTCATTTTCACAAAACATCAGTCCCAGACAGACTGCAGTATAAGACTTAAGGATTTTAAAGTCCTTCTGTGAAAAACAAAATCCCATCCCAATGCCTGTGCTTATTATCCCATGGAAGCCAACAGGAATGTGCAATTGGGGATTACAGAGGGTGAGTAAGGACCAAATATTGCTAAGTGGCTGCTGTGGGAAAACACTACCCTGTTTGTGCTGCTAGAACATTGATCCTTTATGTTCCAAGTTTCAGAGACAAGGCAAGGATGTGGAAAAAATTAAGCAGAGGCTGATAGAAATTGCAAACTATGTCGATAAGGTAAGAACGTGAGAATTATTTCTGTTTTTCAGAAATTATTGCACTTTCTGAAGGAAAAGTTCATCTCCAGCACTTGTTGGAAAACCCTTGTCTGTATTCACACACAGGGTGGTGAGGCACTGGAACAGGTTGCCCAAGGAGGCTGTGGATGCCCCATCCCTGAAGGCATTCAAGGCCAGGCTGGATGTGGCTCTGGGCAGCCTGGTCTGCTGGTTGGCGACCTGCACATAGCAGGGGGTTGGAACTGGATGAGCATTGTGGTCATTTCCAACCCAGGCCATTCTATGATTAGTACAAATTAAGCTTCTAAAACTTACATTTTCACCTTATATGAAAAGAAAAAGAGCTTAAAATTAAAATTTATAAGTAAGAGCAAGTCATACGTTTCTACCCCTTCTTTCTTTCTTCTTTCTTGTTGTCCCCAGCCCATGCTCCCCTTGTGCTGGTAGTGAAATAATGACAGAGGAAGTGTAGTTTAGACCAGATCTTAACAAGTTCTCAAGGACACTAAGTCAAGGAGAAGCATTTGTGATTAAAAACAAGCTGCTGAAAACACCTCCACCTCTTGCATAATTGTCTGGCTGACTTATTACTGCAGGACAGGCGTTTATATGTTACCTGCTCAAAATTAATTTTGCATGTTATGATGTATTTATGTTTCATGCTTAATTTATGCTCAGAAAATGGCAGTGTTATCCAAATGGCTGTAATGCATATAAACAAGACAAAGATCTAGTATATGCTTTTCTCAGATTGTCAGCCAAATCCTGTCTTGATCGATACCTGAGTCCTTCTCCACTTTATTCCTACCTTAGAATTTTTATCTGCTCCATCCCTAACGCTGCACCTGCTCCCCCCTTGTGGCAACTCTGGTATTTGCTGCTGTGATAGCAGTATCCAACAGTGCAGCAATTGTTGTTTCTGTTTTCCCTTTAGTTTTATAGGCCTCTAAATATTCGAGTAGCCCTGGTCGGAGTGGAAGTGTGGAACGACATGGATAAGTGCTCTATTTCTCAAGACCCTTTCACCAGCCTCCATGAGTTTCTGGACTGGAGAAAGCTAAAACTACTACCTCGTAAACCCCATGACAATGCACAGCTAATAAGGTAGAGTTTACACCATGAATAACGTTGGCTGGATTGGGTTGGTCATCTCAGCTGTTGGGATGGTCACTTGTGCTCCTTAGAGGCTGTCTTTCCTCTCTGCAATCACAAAGTGTTTTGCTGGACCCTTCAGATGCTAAAGACAAATCTGCTTCCTCAGCGATATCTCTTCCTTCTAGAGCTTTCCTGGATACAACACATGTGGCAGTCTGGATATGTAATAAGCCAATATTTCAGATGTGAATTTGCAGTCAGTTTAAGGTGATCTCAGTGTAAACTGTTACTGAAGAAGGCAGTCCTGCCCTCCCCACTGCAGTAGAGCTGAGGGGATATTATTGTCAAGATGGTATAGACATCTCAGGGTTGGGTTTGAATGGAGCTTTGGGCAACCTGATCTGGTGGAAGTGTCTCTGACCATGGCAGGAGGGCTGTACCAGCTGACTGTAAAGCTCCCTTCCAACCCAAACCATTCTGTTATTCTGTCATCTGAATCCTGTTCCTTAGTAGAATGACCTCAAATTCAAAATACATTCAGGATAGGGTAATTGATTTCCATTTATGACTTAATGTTTAAATAATCAAGAGGAGAAGCCCTCTTCTTAAAAAGGAAAAAAAAAGAAGGCAAAAATGTGAGTAAGAGAAGCACCTCTGTCTTGAATCTGTCTTGATCCAGTTATCACTTCAACCAGTGAACCATCCTCTCTGCTATGAACAGACTTAGTAGTTAAAAGGAGCTCTCTTTACTCACTGCATCTATATTCTGACATTATCCAAACTGCCACAAATCATTTGATTGCTCTGTATGTGTATTAATACTTGGCTTGCAAAAACTAAATTCTCTGCCGTGTATTACAGCAAGTAGCATATAAACTTCCCATGGCATTAAAGTAACCCTTCCTTGAGTGCATTTCTATTCCCAACTTCAATCAAGGAAAAGAAGAAAGGGTCACATTACAGAAGTAAATCCAAAGGATGGTGATCAAATGGATCTTTTTCATAGCAGGGATTCTGTCACTGTCAGTTTAGCAAATTGGCAAAGCTAATCTGCACATTTCATTGTTTTCAACCTGCAAATGTCTGGAGCTGACACGTTTGAAACGGGATACTTGAGGCTGGCAGAAACACAAGACTTTAAATAATGAGGGTGATATCTTGGCACTGAGTGGTGATTGTGCAATTCTCCTTTTCCTTTTCCTCCCTCCTGCAGCGGGGTGTACTTCCAGGGGACAACCATTGGCATGGCTCCCATCATGAGCATGTGTACTGCAGAGCAGTCTGGAGGGGTTGTCATGGTAAGTGGCAAAAGCACAGAGCTGGAACCTGTCCCAGCTGCTGCAATGTGATCTCAAGTGTTGTAGTGCTGCGTTCAGTACCAGAACGTCAGTTCCTTTTAGTCACGTTTTCAGTCCCAATAATATCCATATCAACGAGCAGCTTGAGTGTAAGTATTTTAACTCATAGTTTGCATCGTGGAAAGCATAAAACTGAAATATGGTGTTAAAACATAGCATGACTTCCTTTCAAAAATCCTCTGCTTCTGGTCATCGTTATGTCAGATGAAGAAGTGCTATGAAGGAAGAGAACCAGAAGATCTGTTTGTTATGCACCTGAGTATACTAGTGTTACAGGCAACAATGGGCTATCCTGAATCTTTTATTATATTGATTTTATTCTGTATTTACAGAGTTCATTATGTAAGGTATTACTTTCCATCTTCGTAGCACAGTGTTTTTGTTATGTTGCCAGACGAGTATAAACAGTAGCAGCATTTATTCCACCTAAATCTCTCTTAAAGAGCATTACAGGTAGTGTTGTTAGATGCTGGACGTGACAAACAAACAAGCAACCATCTTAGCCAATATCTGCTAGTAGTTCTGGGATGTTTTCTTTGGGGGGGGGGCAGGAGGGGGAAATGTAAAAGAATGGTTTGAATTTTGAGAGCAGTGTTTTGTGAGAGGGAGGGGAAAGCAGTTTTGAATTAACTAGGCTTTTCAGTGCAAGTGCTTGAAATGAAATAAGATGTGTATTCTACATTAGGCCACTAATAGGCTCTGCTGGTAGCCTCAGCTCAACTCTAGAGCCGAAAGCCAGGAAGCTCTAAAAACCTCAAAGATATTCTTTATTTTTGAGTTCAGGCTGGAAGTCCTGAAAACCTTTGGGTTTTTTCTGTGTTTTAGTCTAGGCTTCCTTCACATTAGTTGGTTTAGTCATTGGCTCCTGTATCAGCGAGGTGGGAGCTGAGGAATGCACTATGCACTGAGTTTGCATGGTCTCAAAGCTCCCAGTTCTTCAGAGCGCTGTGAAGCCAACCTGGAGTCCAAGACACCAAGGTTTTTGCCTCGGGACAATCCACACAGCAGAGTGGCCCCAGAGATACAGCCCCTTCAAGCCTCTGCATTTCTTAGCTAGCATCCAAGCTGAGCCTGGCTCCTTTGTGGTCTCTGAGGCAATCAGGCAAGAAGCCATTCATGGAATATGATATATTGATGATCCAGGCTGGGAGGATTTATGAGGTGAGCAGGAGAGATGAGGAGTAGGAAAGATTGGGAAAAACAATCAAATCAGGTGGAGAAAGTCACATCAAAATTGTAGAAAATACAAGGGCTTCAGTCCTCCTGTTGGCTTTAGAAACCAAGTCTCTAGTTTGTGTTTGTTACAGCTTTTTGTTGTGTATCGTGAGGCTGGGTATGAAAGGAAAAGGAGGCAGAGAGGAGGGGAAAGCTTCAGGAGTCTCCAGATGCACTTCCAACTCTTGGCAAAGACATATATGAGCCACCCGGCCCCGTTTTCCCCATTCCTCCCTCAGGGTAGCAGTCACTGCTTTGGCTTTATCTGCAGTTGGTCATACTCTTAACAATGACTGTTTGTTCTTTTAATTTATAGCATAAACTTTAAAATACACTGCAGTATTTTACAGCAAATCCCATCCTCCTCACTCTGGAAACTGATGTTTAAACAACAACAAGAAAAAAAACAAGAAAAAAAAAATCATTCCAGTAACTGAAAAAGAGGAACCAGTATTTCTTTAAAGTGTTCCCAGGGCTCTGACAGAGAAGAGAATGATTCATGTGTCCAAGAAAAAGCCAGGGTCTGTGGGGAAATTGTAACCAGGCTGCAGCTTCAGTGGAACGCGTTGTTTCCCAGAGACTCCCACCCTGGTGGATTGAAATGTTTGAGGTGCAAATTAACCTGAGGCTTGCACAGCATAGCTAGGGATGTTTTTCTTCTTCCAGTCATCAATAAGGAGCCGAATCCAAACCGAGCAAATTCTCACCCTGAAACCCAGGTGGGCAGCTTCCAACCTTACCCCTCTTGATTAACAAAGGTTGATTCAGATATGCACAGAAAAGTCTTGATACATACGTGCAGACAAAAAGCTCTACGTCTGGAAAATGTGCAAACGAAATAGTTTTTGACGTGGGAGGCTATGGTGTCATAACATCTCAACACTGAACGCTGAGGAGCCCTGATAATTTGATTATACCCATCCCACTCCTAACATCCAACCTCAGAGAGTTCCTGGCTTTGAAAACAGTTCAGAAGGAAGAGACAATGGAGTAAGTGCCTGAGAAACCAAATGAGAAGCTTTTGAATGTAGATTTGGGAAGAACAGACCGTTCATGGTCTGACTGTCCTGACCCTTTTTGCAGGCCTACCATGAGATCTAAATTCCACTCGAGTTCCATACCCAATTTCTGTAGACCTTAGCAGGCAGTTAAGCTACACAACTGTGGAACAGAGGCAGTGAATGGCTTAAATGAAATTAAAGGTATATTTTTGAAAACTTACACTCTTGCAATGGAGTGAACTTGCAGGGATTGGGGCATGAAAGTGTTGTAGCTGTAGGTGACAGTATTTTATTACTGAGGTTTCAGCTGAATCCCACTGGAAAGAAGCAGAGTTCAGCTGAAAGCAGCTGCCTGTTTTATGCAACATCTTTTAATGTCTTAACAATGGTTGTGAAACTGTTTGGTAATGACTTTTACTACTCAAGTTAGCTTTAAAAGAAGTAGGTGAAATAAATCAGTCACATTGCTATTCGTTTCTTTAGTAGTTGCAATACTTAAGTGGTCTCGGTATCAAATGGGGGACATGTTACTGTTTGTTTTGATAATCTCCATTTATGCTGTCTTCAAATAACCCCTGTTGCTGAGACATCACATTCCTTGTTTTAAAAACCCACTCCAGAAACTGATAAAATTGCATTCCAAGTGGATCTGAGCTAGTAATGAGAACCGCATGGGATGTAATAATTGTTTGCTTATTCAAATCCCAAATTACATTTCAGATCATTTATTGCTGTAGTTCTGAAGTGGACCGCATGAACTCTTATTTTTATTTTTAATTGCCAGTGTTGGAGGTGCTCAGATGAGCAGAGTCCCTTTGCAGTACGCAGAACAGAGCCTAGCAGAATGAGGAGCTGATCTGAATTTGTTGTCTATATGGTTGGTTCACAGCTCAGAGGAATTTCTAAGGCTGGACAACACAGCAATAACTTCAAGGCATCCATCCATTGCTTCGCCAGTAAATTATGTGGAATTATGTAATTGTTTTCTTAATCTTCAGTCCTGGATTGTTTTCCAGTTGTGTGAGGGGTTGTGTTCTTTTCAGGATACCAGATTCAATGGAACTGAATTCCCTAAGTATTTCATAAGTTACTGTAAGAACGAAGACAAATCAAACTGTATGGGACCAGTATCTAGATAAAACATCTCCATACATAGGCCTTGTGCAGGAGCATGTATTTACCTGATTATTACGGATTATTTTGCTGCATACGTTTCCATGTTGATCCTTCTCCTAGGATGCATGGTACAGCTCCTTTCTTCAAACAAACATTTTAAAAGTTAACTGCTCGCCAACTGGCTGCTATGTTAGTCACAACATTTTGATACTGTTATTTCTTTTAAGTCAGGAAAAGCAGGAAAATCTTTTGTTACAAGATAAGATTGTTTTGAGTTTGTTCCAGCTGAAAAAAGTAGTTCCTTGTTGTTGGAATTCAACTGTATTCTCTTTTTTTAATTCTGTTTTCTATATAAGGATTGAATTATTAAACATATTAGCACAGCCAGATGAAAGGAGAAGCTCTTAAGCCATGGAATCACAGAATGGCTTAGGTTGGAGGGGATCATTTAGTTCCAAACCTCTGCCATGGGCTGCCAACCACCAGACCCCTCCCCAGGTCGTATATTAAAAGCTTCATTTGTATATAGTTGATGACAGACACTTTTACCTTTCACTTCTTTTTAGTCTGAAGATTGACTTAGATTATACCAGGAGTTATTTAAACTGAATATATTCATATATGCTTTTAGAGCAGGCAGCTGTACACAGTAATTCCATTTACTGACTGATAAATAGTGGATCATGCATTTATATTACATGTTTATGCCTTTGGGGAAAGATTTTATGTGAGTACAGTGGATATTTTTTCCCTCAAGGAAAGTGATCGATGTGGAAATGTCTCTTTCTTGTGGTTCAGCCAAAACATCAGTCTGATCAGCAGCCTTTAATCAGACCGTGCAGGGAATTTCTCAGAAGTAGTTGTCCAAAAAATCCAGTATTTCAACAGGGAATAATGTTAATATTTCGATCTTGACACTTGCAGCATTTTGAATATTCATAGGTGTTAACTGGAGGGCACTGAAGATTTCATCTTGCTTTGTTCTTTAATTAAAAAAAAAAAAACACTTGGTTTTAAGGGTCCTTTGTCTTTCCTACAAGGCTTGAAAATTCTTCTTGGACTTTCTGGCATTAAAGAAACAGTATGATGAAGATAAAACAGACCAAGGGAAATCTCTTGCTTCCTGTGTAATTTACCACCTGAAAGGATGGATCTTTTTGTTTTTCCCTTATCACACTCATCCCCTCCCATAAATGATTGCCCTTTCCCATGCACCACATCTAAGTTACTGTTTTCTGCCACTGCCATGTCTTGGGAGGTTTGGGGAGTTACTGAGCAGGGAAATGTAAAGCCCTCAATAAAGATATGGCCCACGTGTTCAAAGCTGCCTGATGGCCTTGAGTATTTGGTGTGCTGAGAAAGCTGGGTGGCCAGGATGGATAGGCTGCTCTGAAAATCCCAATCTGCTTCTGGTATTCATGAATGGATTTAAGACTGTGTGCATTCAACAACAGTATTACCATAGCTGGTAAATTCATAAAGCATTAAGAGGAATAGACAATAGGACCTTGGAATGGGACTGTGAATTTTCAATTGCTTTCATACTTTGACCACTATTACATACTTTTTTTTTTCTTATTTGTTTAAGGATCATTCAGAAAACCCTCTGGGTGCAGCAGTCACCCTGGCTCATGAGCTGGGCCACAATTTTGGGATGAATCACGATACGCTGGAGAGGGGCTGCAATTGCAAAGCATCTACTGACAAAGGAGGTTGCATCATGAATCCTTCTACAGGGTAAGTGTGAGGGGGTGTTGTTGCACTTAGGGTGGAAAACAGTTTGGTTTTGTGTCTCAGGTACTTTTAAAGAAAAAATGAAAAACTTCAAGACCTGTCAAATTTCTTTGCAGTTATCCCCCCTCAAGCTGAAGCAATTATACTTGTTATCAGTGCAAGACGTGTACCCTTGTACTTTTCTATTTCCATATTACCAGTGTGAGAGACAGAAATGCTATAAGCAGCTGGTTAAGCTTTTCTTAAAAACCAAACTGCATTGCAAGTGGTGAATCAGAATTTCAGCCCCTCTCATCTTGCCAACAGATTATCATAGTCATAATAGGAAATGAACGATGTCCCAAGGCCAGGACTAAGATGACTGTGTAGAAAATAAAGCAACGCAGGAAATATATTGTTATTATTATTAGACTCTCTGTAAAGTCTTTGTGTTGTGCTGAGAAGGTTTTTAGTTTTGCACAAACTTTGGCATTCGACCCTTTGTTGATATGCAGTGGTATTAACATATGAGCAGATATGCTGACAGAGAAGTTTGGTGTTTTTATAGAAATGAAAAGCACAGGCACCATAACCAGGTAACTAATTACAGCTTGCTCCTCTGCATTTATAAAATACTATTCGAAAATGAGCAATATAATGAATGTGTTCTTCATGGCCACATTCAGACAAGAACCAATAACATTAAGTTGAAGAAATAGATGAGATTTACTAAAGCTTTGTGCTGGAAAGTGGCATTCTGGACTGGATAGCCCACAGAAATGTCACTTGTCTGTGACTGGAAGCTGGTAAGAACCAATCAGGCAAATACCTGTCAGCAGCATCTGGTAGGAACAGCTGGATTTGCCATGGGCTGAGCGGATGTGTTCTGGATCTAGCCTGATCTTCTGGTGTGTCTTCCAGTTCCAACACTCTCTGCGTGTGCTTAAACCTTATATATGCATTGCTTAAAAAACCTCTTCTGCGATTTTTTTTTTTTTTTTTTTATCAGCTCGGCTTGCTCGGAAACTGCACGTTTCTCAGAAAGGAGGGCAATATGGGAGAGGGTAGGGAGCGTTGGGCAGGATTGCTCCCTGCTGGTCAGCCAAACAACAGCTTTGGCACTTCTTCAAAGGCAAGCTGTCACTCTCCTTCAAGGCAGAAAAAGGGATTCTGGCCAGAGGCCAAACACAGCAAGTTAAGAGACAAACAATGAAAAAGGGAGTTGTGTGCTTAGAGGAGAATGAGAGTGGTTTGGGAGAGAAAAATAGCTTGGCTCTTCTGAAACAATAGGTAGTAAATATCCCTACGGAATTGCATTCTGCAGCAAGTCAGGGCTATTAAACACACTGTGAAAACAAACTGAAGGTGGCTCTGAAGTGAGGTGGTGTGATGGTGGGTATGCAGGGGGCAGGCAGGTCTGGGCTCTGAGCTCCAGAATGAGGTGTGTAAGATTTTGTCATCTCAGCTGAGCTGCTGGCTGGGCGTCCAGCTGCTCTGCTTTGGGGAATAAATACTGGAGATGCAATCAGGACAGAAGTTGCTAGATGCTTTCTGAATTCAGCCTGTGGCATATCTCTAACATAGGGTTAGCTAGCTTGTCTGCTTTCAGCACCGCAGAATTATAGAATCATAGACTGACCTGGGTTGAAAAGGACCTCAATGCTCATCCAGTTCCAACCCCCTGCTGTGTGCAGGGTCACCAACCAGCAGACCAGGCTGCCCAGAGCCACATCCAGCCTGGCCTTGAATGCCTGCAGGGATGGGGCATCCACAGCCTCCTTGGGCAACTTGTTTCCACTGTAGCCCAGTGGGTTTATCAGAAGGCATCCCTGGTATGCCAGTCCAATCACTTGACTCTGGGCATGGCCAGAGCAAGGTTGTACCTGCTCACAATGTTTCTACAAGCAACTCAGCTCGCTTTGTCCCAGGGTTTCAGCAGCACCCTGGTGGGTTACCAGCTGTGCTGCCTTAGCAGTGCCATACCCAACCCCAGCACTTCATAGGTATGGAACCACGAGGTGCACCAGAGCTTTGTCACGCCCTCTGGATTTTCACCAAATTTTATCTACAACTTATGCCCAAGGAAGAGTTGTGACATTCACAGAAAAGAGTGTACTGGTGTGTTTGCAGGGATTATTGAATTATAAATGGAAATTTTAACATTGGGTTTGTAGCCTTAGGCTTTACCTTCATGCTGTGCTGTCGATATGTAATAAGTATTCCAGGAGAATACTATATGCCTTAAGCCAAACTGCATTTTACCAATTTAAAATTAACACTTTCAATATTTACCCAACATCTGACCAACAGTAGTATTCCTCTGAGCACCATTATTCAAGGAACATTGAACAGTTCTCAACTCTGCAAGCATCAGTTAAGAGAAGGTCAAATTAATATTCAGACACTTTTGTCAGTGACACAGCCGGTGTGATTGAGTGCAGCTCCAGCAAGTTTGCAGAGGACAGTAAGCCGCAGGGTTTGGTGCATGCAACACATGGGAGGGATGGGATGCTATCCAGGGGGAACTTGTGAGGGCAAAGCTCTTGAAGCTCAACAAGGCCAAGTGCAAGGTGCTGCACTTTGCTCTCAAGCACAAACACAGGCTGGGCAGAAAGCGGAATGAGAGTGACCCTGAGGAGGATTTTGGTTGATGAGAGCTCAGTGTGAACCAGCACTTTCAGCCCAGAAATGCAATTGTATCCTAGGCTGCATCAAAAGAAAGGGGTGGCAGTAGGTGATTGTCCCCCTCTTTTTTCCCCTTGTGAGAACCCAGATGGAGAACTACATCTGGGTCTGGGGCGCCCAGCATAAGAGGATACGAACCTGTAGGGGTGAGAAAGCTATGAAGGTGATCAGAGTGCTGGAACACTTCTGTGAAGAAAGGTCAGGGAACTCGGCTTGTTCAGCCTGGAGAAGAGGAGGCTTTGGGTATCTCTCTAAATTTTCCACTCTTAGGAATGCAAATATTCTTCCTGACAGTTACATAAAACCAGGAGAGTTATAGTGAAATCCAAGGCGTTGCTCCAGATTTATATCAGTGCAACTGAAGCCTTCCAGAACCTGTAAGGGGCCATCAGGAAAGGTGGAGAGGGACATTTTACAAGGGCATGTACTAACAGGACAAGAGGTAATGCCTTTTTAAACTAAAAGAAGATAGATTTAAATTTAGCATAATGAAGCAAATCTTTGTGATGAAGGTGTTGAAGCACCAGAACAGGTTGCCCAGAGATGCTCTGGAAGGCCTCACCCCTGGATATGATCAAAGCCAGGTTTGAGCAACCGAATCCAGGGGGTGGCAACCCTGTCCACCTCAGGGGATTGGAACTAGGTGGTTTTTAAGGTCCTTTCTGCCCCCAAACCATTCTGATTTTCTGTGGATCTATGATATTCCCTACCTGAAAAATATCAAAACACAGAACATGTCAGGGTGGCTAAACACATTTGGAGAGAAGTTTGTTCTGTGCACTGGCACTCACGCTGTGCCCTACTAATTTCTGTTAGTTTAAGCTAAATCTAATACGTAAAAGAAAAGGGAAAAAAAAAAATCCTTGGGCTGAAGTAAAAAGCATGAGCTGCTGAGAAGTCCTTATCTAATCTCTAAAAAGGGTCGGAAATATCTGGGCTATAACAAAAATGCCTCTGCAGACCTGACTTTTGAGTCATTGGTGTGGTTCTGCAGCAAAAGGGAGTGTTTGAAGACTTCTTACTTAAAAGTGATTTCATTAATTATTGCCGTCTTCTTTCAGTTCTTATGTTTCAGTCTTTGAAGAGGTTAGCATTAAAAAGTCATCTTGGAAATTACTTCTTGGTGGAAAAAATCTCCAGGGATCAGTCTGGAATTTAAACTCTGTTGGATCTATCCTTTAATGAGCTTCTTAAAGCTTTCACTCCTAAAAGATACCAGCGAGATGTGTACGTCTATTGTGTGAGCAACAAATGCCTTAAGGACCCAATACTTCAGCAGAATGTATTTTGTGTGGCGTGGATTTAAGCGTATGAAACAAACCCATAATTTGTGGCACTCCAGATCTTTTTGAGATTCGAATATCTCCTACGGAAACCACATAAATCCCATTGTAGAACTGTGTGGGTTTTTACGGCAAAAATAGCATCAACAAGGAAATGTTTAATATTATCACACTGTTCCCTTTTTATGCGTGTGTTTTAAAGTTATTTCTTTTAATGTCATTTCTTTTAGTTGTTTTGACCGTAAACTGTTTCAAGTGAAAAGAAGGTGATAAGGAGTCTTAAAGAGATTTGCAAATGTTTTTATTGTGATTTGCAGTATCTGAAAACAAAGGGACTAAGCTGAGTCAGCAGGGTCATCTCACTATTCTGCTTGTTTTCCAAGTATCTCCCTAAATCTTCCACTCTTAGGAATGCAAATATTCTTCCTGACAGTTACATAAAAACCAGGAGAGTTATAGTGAAATCCAAGGCATTATTCCAGATTTATATCACTGCAACTAACCAGAATTTACCACAAACTGCGGAGCAAAATTATGCCAACTAACTGTGATAAGTTCTTTAATAATTTTGAAAATGTACTGTTTGTGTGCTGCTTCATCAAAATGATGCACAGTTATCTCCCTAGTGGTTGTAACCAGGTAAGTTTCCCCAAACTAGTTGAAAGCTTCATATACATTTGAAACTTCTAGCCTAGCCTTAAGGGGAGCCAAACATTTTTAGCTATCCGTCTTCCCTCCAATAAACCTAATGGTTTATGCTTCACCTCACCCATGTCTGGGTCCTTGCCAAGACCATGCTCTTCTAATTTATATATGGGGGACTTGCACAGCCGGCTGCTCTTCAGGGCAGATGAGTGTACTGTAAATGTGATCTTAACAGAAAGTATTCCTTGATGCTTCTCCATGTTTCTCCTGCAGCTTAGGTGTTAACGAGATCCCAGGAATCCACAAAGGATAACTAATCTTACCAAGCACATTCAAATGCTGAACCTACTATAGTCTCTAACCCTTCTCGGAGCCCGGTGACAAGGAAAGCTGCTTTCCTTGTCATCTCTC